TAAAATAAAGTTTAATAATAAAAATACAAACTCAAGAAAAGCTACTGTTGAATTCAATCCTTGTATTTGGCTTTCAGAAATGGCAACACTATTTTTTATTCTGTTAAATTCTTCTTCTATGGATTCTTTAACTATTGACATGGAAATAAGTTCTTCATTACGTTTTAATAAATATTCTTGAAGTTCCTAAATGAATCCAACATATGACACATTTRATTAAAGGAAATATACAATTACATATTAGCATAAAAAGAACACTAACCTCAACTGAACTGGGTAAATTAATTTCTTCATTTTGTAACTGTACAGAAAACTTCATGTGTTTTTCTTTTAAATTATGATTTTCTTCTTCCAATCTATACAGAAAATTTATAAATATAAAAATATACATTTAAGAAATATTGTATTTCAATTTATTTTAGAGTGTAACAATACTTCAATATACGTTGCTTCATTTTAGCACCATTTTCTGTACAGAGTTTTATTTCTTTTTGAAAATCGATCACTGTCTGTTCATATTGCAGTTTAAGATCACTGAGCACTTCATGTGATTGATCTGAGAAATTTTTCAATTCTTGTACCTACAGAATCCATTAAAATCAGTTATTTAATATATTTATTATTCAACAATTTGTCATTGATGGAAATAACYTTCTAGCGTAATTTAAGGGATGAAAGTATGCTCAATAATAAGACTGCTCCTATTTTTCAAGGGGYATTTTATAATTACATAAAAACGCAGTTCGTTTTGAGCATACTTCATATTTCTATATTTCTTTACTAAGAACTATGCTCCTTTGTGCCAAATTTTTGATTTTGAGGTTTTAGTATCCCTGAATTCAGAAAAGCTATTTATATGAATCTATAAATCTCCTATGCGCTAAGTGCATCATAGAATTAATGCAAAAAAATAAATAAATTCTATGTATTACCTATAGTTACCTATATTAAGTCATTATWAAATACCTCTAATGTGCTATCTAAATTGTATAAAACCCCTTCAAAGTGTTAACAACTATAGATCGTTTATGAAATAACTCCTATGTGATTTTTAAATTTAAAACCGTTTTTGTGTTTCATGAAAACAACACTTTTTTACATAGGAGATTTATTCCCATCATTGATGAATTATTAAATCTTAAATCTTAGAAGTTACTTTATTTTTATGTTCATCTAATTTTTCATTCCACTTTTCTTCCATCTCCTTACGATACATAGTCTCCTTATCATGTTCATCTTTAAGCTTGTCCATGGACAAAAGACGTTTTTCAGCCTCATTTATTCTTTCTTGCATTTCTTCTATGCGAATTTTGTATAACGAACATTGTTCACATTTTTCCATATTATTCTCTACAACAGGAATTAAATATAAACATAAATTGTTCACAGCAGTACARTAAATTATTGATATACCAATAGATGTATTYAGAGAAACAAAATCTCCAGTTACTGAAGAATTAGTCGATTCTTCTTGTGAATTGCCTAAGAAAAGAAATTGTAACATTTAATAATTTTAAATCTATATAAGAAATTTGACAAATACATACAAGCAGCTAGCTTCTCAACAACATTATCTTTTGATTCATTTAATTTAGTTTTATAGTAACTGATATCTGTGTCCATTTCACGAATTTTTGCTTTAAGTGCTTCAACTTCTTCTTTTAATGGATCCACTAAAGCTTTATACACATTATCTTCATCATCTTGAGACTAGAATATGTAGATGAACAAATTATTTGATTTATCTATGTAATTTATTTAAACAAAATATTTCTGATTTACCTTTTTGTAGTCATCAGATTCAGTGCTAGAAGCAAGATTTGTCATTTTTCTAGCAATAGCAGAAAGAACTGTACCAGGCACATTACGTATTTGTTGCTGTGTTGATTCACCCAGTATATTATTTCCCTGCTGGCCAATAAGCATTTGATTGCGACAATTTTTTAGTTCATTTTCCAGTTTTTCATTCATAGTTTTGTATACCTTAGTTTCATTTTCACGTTTCCTCGATTCTTCTAATGTTTCTAAAAAAAGTGAATTTTAAAATAGTGAAAAACAAATTATATCATAAAATATATTACCAGCAACCACTTTATGCAATGACGAAATCTCTTCATTATATTTGCGGGTCTGTTCTTCAAACCGTCCTTCCATTTCAAGTTTAGTTACAGTAAGCTGGCTTTGCGATTCATCTAACTCGTCTTGTAATCTCTTCAATTCGGCTGAGATAGTTGACATACGCTTGAGCTCCTCTAATAATTAAACTCATTACATTTGTATCTTTCGAAGAATTATAAATTAAATTAACAGAGAAATCAATGGCATATATACATATTCAACAAAAATAAAGCAACAAAGCAATAACTGGTCACCTTCTTTTTGCAGTATAAACCCCTTCATTTTGGCGCGTTGCAAACCAAACTCTTTTTTCTCCAATTGCAATTCGTCAATTTGTTTTAGAAGCAAGTCCAAAGTCAACGGACCTGTCGATATAAARAGCGTGCAACACCAACATAAGCATTGATAAYATTTATATAGTAAATCAAAAAATTAAATTGAAAACAATAAAACCTTCATAAAAAACACAAGTAATTCAGTGTAAATGTGAAATTCTGTAATTTAATACCTGTAAGTATTAAGTATTGAAAAATTAATTTAGTGCGTATACACTGAATTGCTTGAAAGATCGTGCAAAAAATGYGTTTATAAATATTGTAAAAAATAACACACAGTGTGCAAAAAACCAAAATATATAATACACATGGGAAGAGTTGTGTAGTTAGCAACATGAAAAAATATACACACATATAATATATATATATATATATATATGTAATATATGTGTATAGGTGTAAACACTTAAAAGAATTAACAGGAATAGGTAATAAGTGTGTGCGTCAGTAAAATACTGTAGATTACCACGATTGTTGTCGTTGTCGACAGTCGGCTGTAGTTCATCCCTAACGTTGTTCTCCATGGCTCACGTAGTGTGTTCGAGCCTGGCTAATCGTGCGGTGCACGTTAACTCAATGTGTTTACTCTTCTACGACGGTGAACTGAAAAAAAACATGGGTTAAAAAATAGAAAATCAAACGCATGACGATCTGTTCAAACAAAACCGACTACCCACTGCACTCCACCATCTGTGGGCTATATGCAAACGGGCGATGTCTGTGCCTCATCCCATTCCCCCCCCTCCCCCCAAACAACATAGATGGTATTGAGGGGCTAACAGACGCCAAAATCACGATCGATACACGACCACACGGCACACATCATATTGTTTACCTGACACAACTCGTTGGACAATCTTTTTTTGCTACGGCGGAAGCGAACCGCATCCGAAGGCGGAGGACATAATGTCGAGCTCGCACTCGTAGATCACCACGGGCACAACAAATTCCCTGTAAATTAGAAAACCGTGTCGGGTATCCAAAACAGATTGTCTCTTCGTCGATCGAACGAAGGAGTTTACGGTAAATRTAATTAAAAAATATGCAACGAATAGCAAATAGCAATACCTTAATTATTAATTAGTGTAATATCGTGTAAGTAAATAGGTATGTCAAGTTTTGTCAACAAGTTTGTATCGTGATAACTGATAACTGCCTAGCGTGGTAAACTGATAAGGCGCACTTATATATATATATATATATAAATAAAAAATTAATATTATAAATATTATCACGGTCTTAGAAGATCTTCTATATAAGACCGTGAATATTATATATAAATATATATTTCATATATTCCGATATTATATTCTTACTCTAGCATAGATAATAATAAGTCATAGATACCGTAGATGTCAGACGATAGAGATACATATACATAACACAGCTGTTAAGATCTCTAGRTATGTTTATATATCTACCGCAGAGKTATTCGGAAAAAAAGCTGCAAAATTTAAAATACGATAAAAGAGCTCCGGCTGCAATAATATTTTAAAAGGGTAAAACTAAAACCCCTGACGAGACGGGGCCAATTCTATTCCAAACGATGATAAGAAAAAAAACAGCGTTTTTCGAACAAATCGGGTGATTAGGTTAGGATTAAGAACGTCCAGAATGCTGGCGCTGTGACGGTAGTCGATGCTGATAGATAGTCGATAATCGATTGTTGACGACGACGCACTAAACTTCAGCGGAAGTTCCTGGACWCAATTAGTTAAATTACTATTTTATCCATGTTGCAGGTTACACTGCTGCGGCCGTCGCCGGCCGACCCCTTTACACTCAGCACCAGTAGATACGACTTTSAATGTCTTTCAGTTCTGCTCGAATAATCGGCCACTATTTGTGATCACATTTCTTTTTAAAAGGGATTGTAGTCCATATATTTTTCCATCTAGGTGTATTAACTATTCTAGGTTCGCATTTAAAGGCACTCTAAATATTTTCTCTTAAAAAATAACTAGAACTCTTATAACATGTCATAAAAAAAAGTTTAAGTCTTAAGTGCCATGTAGATAATCAATACTAAAATAATAACAAAAATAATTTTAAATAAGATAAATTCCACAAACATAGAATAATTTTAAATAAATATAAAATATGATTTTTAAAATTATTGGCTATTTGTTTAGTTTTTTTATTGCAAATTATTCTATTTTAGGATCTTATAATAAATGAAGGAACTGACAATAGCTATAAGTGCTCTAYAAAAATGGAAGAGGTTAATCACTTTAAAAACATTTTAAAACTAATGAAGTCTTACATTTTTTAAATATGAGACCATATGACATATTTAACTCAGGGGAGCACAGACTGGTTTTAGGGGCACTATGAAATAAATCAAACATTTTCTAAATTTATCATCAAAAAATAAAAACTAGGTTATTTTWTTTATAAATTATTTAACTTTTTAGTAATTTGGATTAAACACGTTTAAGTAGTCTAACATTTTAACAGTATCTGATGGAATAGATATAATCTATTTATCTGATTTCTGCAATCTCAGCTGCCAAATCCTTAGTAAAATCCAAATCCATTTTTTTTAATTACTAGAACTACCAACAACTGAAATCTAAAAATCAGTATTACACAACTATGGATGAGTTTACATTTAAATGGAGGACATGGTTGAATAATCTCAAAGKATTAAAAGTTAGGTATATTATGATTCAGAAAACAAAATAGATAATTAATGTATCTCCAAAAAAGTATACTTACAAATTACATCAATCATTAACAATTAAATTAGATACACATTCAGCACTGATTCCTAGTGCAAAATATCACATGATTATAATTTTAATAAAGTGTAATTAATGACCCACAGAGGTTTGGACTCAAAACATTTTTAGATATGTAATGATTCATCATTAAATTCAAATTTAACTCATCAAATACAGTGGCAAATTCAATAACGAAATACATTCTAACCTATTATACAGTAGATCAACTCCTTGTTTTTTCCTCTAACAAGTAGTAGTTAGCAGTCATATGAAATACTTAAATTTAATATTTATGTATTAGATATTTATTATGCATTAATCTAATGTAGAAAACTTACCACAAAATAATGACATAGTTTGATTAAGTGGCTTACCTAATCATCTAGWTAATTTGTCAGAGATATCTCAGAAAAAATACAGTGTTAAAATTACWGTCTCTTATTCTATTTTTTCCATTTAAATTTTAAATGAATATGATTTTTACCCAAATTAAAATAAATAAATAATAGGTATCAAATTATAATATATTTATTATAATTATGATTTTTTTTTTCTTTTAATTACAACTTACAATAAGCATATAAAACCTAAATATTTCTAAACAAAACATTTCATTTATCTAAGAATTTTGTATAATAACTAATGTAAAAGACAACTTGTAAGGTACAGGTTCTATATTTTAATATCAAGGATACATTGTTTATAATAATTTTGGAACTACCTTCTTAATTTTTATTAATCAGTTATCACAATTACATTAAACCTGTAAACAAAGAATAATAATTAATTAAGTTAATCATAAGTTATTAAAAACTGACATTACGGTTAGCTTCCTTGCATTGACGAATAGCCTCATTAAATCCAGAACACAAAGAAATATCATCATTGTTTTGTGCACATTGCAAAAACTGTTTGATTTCAAAAGCACACGCTCCACCTTGTTGGCTACTCTGCTCCATTGGCATTAATGGAGCTTGTTGAACTTGAGGTTGTACCTCATCGCGGGAGCCACCACCTCCAAACATTCCTGTGACTGCATGACCAACAGTGTGGCCCTAAAAATACATAAATTATTGTAATTATTTTCTCTTTAAAATTGTATTATTATACATACAATGGCAGAACCAACAGCAACACCTCCAGCAGTAGCAGCCATTTGGGCAAATAATCCAGGTTGTTGTGGTTGAGCTTGTGCTACTTGTGTTGGTTGAGGAGCTTGTGCCACTGGTGCACGCTGTTGTGTCCTAGCAGGGACCGCTGACCTAAAATTTAAATATTCATTTAAAATATTATTAATATTGATGAACTTAAAAACTATAAAATAGGTATAAGATTTAGAATTTCTTTGTATATTTTTTTTAAATTACTAAAATAATAGTTAATATAGATTATGAATATTTTTAAGTAGGTATATTAATATTTTTAAGTATATTAATATRGATACATCTAAAGAGGACGCCACACCCRCATGTGTTCTCTCTGTCTTACAAACGTATAACATAGCAAAATCTGTTTAGCGCGGGACAACTGTTCTCCCTCAATATTTATAATARAATTTTCAAAATTTCACAATGCATAGGTAATAACTTTATCTGTGTCATAGCATCGTTATTTTTTTGATAACATACATATAATTAAGTTATAAGCTTAAGAAAATACATTTACTTTTTATTTTTTCATTAAATTACTTAAAATTACCTATTGGTTTGTGCTATCAAACAAATAAAGACGCTATGACACAGATAAAGTTCTTACCTATGCGTTGTGGAATTTTGAAAATTCTATTATAAATATTGAGGGATAACAGTTGTCCCGCGCTAAACAGATTTTGCTATGTTATACGTTTGTAAGACAGAGAGAACACTACTCCCGTAGTCCTGTGCATTCTTGTAATGATTGCCAATAGTGTGTACATATTTTAAAATATTTATCAAATTATGCTAACCAATTGTTGAAAAAACATTCACTTAGGTACGCTCAAATACAAAATAATAAATAATTTGCTTCAAATCAATTTTAGAAAAATTGTGTTCTGAATGACTTCAAGAACACCAATTAGGAGTGTAACACAGAATAATATTTATTAGGTGTAATATGTAAGAATTTACATAAAACTATCAGATTGAAATAAATATAATTAAAATAAAATGAAAATATAACACCAATGTACCAATTATAAGAATGACCTCATTTAAGTTGCACAATACTGTGCAAATTCTTTTAATATACCTATGTTGCCCAAAGTATATTAATAAGGACATAAATTAGTGCCAATTTTTTTTTTTTTTTTGGGACACAAACAAGAATCTAAACCAAAAAATCTATGTCTTTAGTTCATGAAATCTAAAAGTTTTATACTCATAAATGAATTACCTAATAAGCGAGCTAATAAGTTACTTTATATACAGAATTAGGTACAATTAAGAGTATAATCATTTTGTATCAAGTCTACATGCATTAATGAGGATAATGAAATTAGTTTTCATCGTAATCAGAGCACCTACATGTTCAAATGTAAATTATTTTATGATTTTATAAAAATTTAAAAGAAATCAAAAATGTTTGTAARCATCCTGTCTCGCCTATCTGTTCTCTATATTGTCGTTGAAACACACGATACAGAAAATATAAGTCGGTATACAACCAGTTGTAATTGATTGTTTCTTACACTATTATTTTTGTAGGTATTTAGATTATATACAATATGACTGTTGACATACATCATTATTAATATATTATCTCTTATATTAGCCTGTCACGGTCCATCAACTATATAACAATTTTATGTTGTTAATTAATTTAGGATAATATTTGCTTAATTGTTTGTAGATTATTTTAAAATATCATTAACTTATATACATGTCAAAAAAGGTTTAGATTATTACTACACATTTTTATATGAAGATATTTGCATACTGCTACATTCTAAGCATATTTATTTATTTATTTAAAAYACAGACAGAAACCCAAAGTTATTGATTTGATTGTTTTTTTCCAATTGCATCTAGATATGCAACATAAAGGCTGTAACGAAATAGGATTGGCTATAACGTACTATTAAAGAACCATACTTTTCGAAGGGTTTAACTCAACACAAATCTAATACGGATAGAAATTTCAAAACAAGGAAACAAACTCAACACCGATATCAGTACCTACATCACATACAAAATATAAGATATTATAATTTTATCATGGGTAACCTTGCCAGCGGGGCGTCCGACAAAGAGCAAAGTACACGAATGACTTACCTTCTGGATGCAGGTTGTGGGGAACGTCCACGTCTGGCCATTTCGTCGTTTGGTTAACACGAAAATAAAACAAATTTCACAGATAGAAAACGATTTTATGACTGGATTGCAATCTTAAAAAATTAGCGTTAWAGCGTGATTCGGCGCAATATTGTAATACGGAATCGCAATGAGTTCTTATGACTTTATGAGTATTCACAATGACGAAAGATGGTAATAGAATTTTGGTTATATAAAAATTTTATGACGCGATTGTGTATATTGGTGGGGCAAAACAAACAGCTGTGCTGCTATGGCAGTATGGCGATGGTGAATTACGAAAAACAACGAAATCGTGACAAGATGAAATAATATCAATTCTAGAATTTTCTCGATCATGAGACGGTCAGCTGTAAACGTGGTAGTGAGTGCAGGCGTTCGAAACCTCTTTGAGTACGGGCAATTCGACCGGTAAAAGACGCGCGTGCATTCGTTCGTTATCAACTTTCAATTTTATCAGTCATCAACCACAAGTGCACAAGTAAAGTTGCGACCACAGACTGAATATTCTGTGTTGCGAGTGTTGCGACCATCATGGCTTAAGATAACATACTGGCAGCGCAACGATATGTTCTTGATAAACTGTTGATCAGAGATGAGGATAATATACTATTATTTAATATTTAGTGCTCATTAAAATATTATTTRTATTATTTACATCATTATTTTGTGATTATCAATTATCACTGATTTTTTACCGCTTTAAACTCCACTTATTATTTATGTAAGTTTATCTAGGAATCAATCAATCAACAAGTCAATTTATTTTACTGCTAGAAATTACAATAGAGCGCGCCATAATACAATTTTTATCTGTCAAAAGTTGAAGACACTTTAGGGGTCTCGTTAAGTCGTAATCGCGCCTCGTTGCGCAACCAGTTCATCGTTATTCGTTAATCATGGTTGTAACCGATGACCGTGATTATAGCGCCGAGCTCTTTTAATTTTTCCGCTCTCGAATTTCAATTAAGTATTTACAATTTTTTRTTTCGGATTTCCGCCGTTTTCCTCGTCGAGTTTTTGACTTTTCCGCCGTCGACCGTCAACCACCGGCTRCCTGACGTAAACAACACAATATCGCATCTTCAATATAGCCCGGATTASGTATAGTGATCAGCCATCCGTCGAGCACGTGCCTGGTCCACGCGAGATAAAATTACGACCGAGACCAGACGATGACGCGGTCTGTCCGCTGAGAAAATGCCGCCTCTGCGCGATCGCACCAATTACGAGCGTCGTCCGCCGCGAACTCCGCCGCCGCTGTTGAGTGGAGCAACAGACCCATTTTAACCTTGGTCGGTTGTTGTGCCTTAATCTTTGACCCGCCCCGAGACTCGACTACTGCCAGTCCAATATACGCACTGYGATGGAGTGCGCTAGCCTAGACGAGTGCATCGAGAACTGGGATTCGATAGCTGGTGACTACAAGACTTTAGAGGTACGTCGTGTGATTATATTTTTCTTTAAGTATTTACATTGCAGTCTCAGAAACATCACAGAGACGCTAATCACGATAGGTACAGCTTCTTATGCGAATCTAGTGTTCTACAATACTGTTGCCATTCTTACTTAATTTTTCATTTTCCTCCTTTGATAGGTTCTAGGATTTCAGGTCTTTCTCGTGATAAAATTCTGAAACTGTAGTTTAAATTCTGCCAATCAACCATCTCATAGACTTACACTTAAGTACTACTTTACTAGTCCTACCACTTTATACCTATAATAAGATACAGATATGATTAAATGACATTTTTCTAGATTAAAACACATTTAAAATGTTGTATTGATTATTATTGTAATTAATGAATAGTTAATAGATATACATCATATTATTGTGTTGCACAAAAATATAATTTATGTAATGATTAAATGATACATAATTTAATAGACTAATCATGGGCCTAACTTTAATGTATTTGGAACTGTAAAATTGTTTTAAATCTTAGTTATAATTAAAAGGTTTTTTATACATTTTTTCTAGGTCAAGCACCTAGTTAAATTAGAAAAATTATCAAAAATAATGTTGAAACCTACATTATCATTAGTATTATAAAGTATTGTACATACCTATGTAATTAAAGGTATTCTAAGACTTCTGGATCAATCAATCATTGTTAAATTATTCTTATTGAATTTCAGTAATTTTTCTTTTCTTTTTACTAAATATATTTTATTATTTTACTTCATCTAGTTATCTAAAATTAACTACCTAATAAACAACCAACAAATTGTCAATTTTATAATTAGGTACCTATACAATATAAATATAATTTATCTACTTGTTTATGATTATCTATATAATGATGATTTTAGTATTTTTCCTATGARTTATGATTATTATTAATTAATACCTAACGCCTATGTAATTATTTAGGCAGATATCCATAAGTACCATGAAATATTGTAACTATACCTACCTAATTATTATTTATTTTTATCTTTAGAATGTCAATAAAGAATATTTAGCCAAGGTAGAAGAGGTTAGTGATCTTCAAGGTCAGTGTATGAAACAAGTCAGTCACCAAAAATATCGATTAAATTTTATTGCCAAATCTTTAAAAAAGTAATTGTTATTAAATTCTGTAATTTTAAAAATCTTAATCTAATTTATTTTGGGTTATCATTGTTTAGTTTTGAAAATGATGAACGTCAAGACATCATAAAACGGCTTTGGAAAGATATTAACCAACGTCGCCAACAACTGTCAGATATTGAACAATCCCTACCTAAGCCCAACGGCACTTACTTAAAAATTATACTTGGCAACGTAAATGTATCAATTTTGAATAAAGAAGACAAGTACAAATATTTTAATTAAAAAAGTCAATCAATGTTTGATATAAAAAATGTGTTACAGGTTTCGATATAAAGATGAATATGAAAAATTCAAACTGGTTCTTAGCATTATTGGTTTCTTTTTATCTCTATTGAATTTGGTGACCCATAGACGTGGAATCGAATTGACATTTTTGTTTCTTTTGGTCTGGTATTATTGTACATTGACAATACGCGAAAGCATATTGAAAGTAAATGGCTCTAAAATCAAAGGATGGTGGAGGGTACATCATTTTATATCAACTGTGGCTTCAGCCGTACTACTTGTTTGGCCAAATTCTGAAACGTGGTTCATATTTAGGCCACAGTTCATGATTTTTAATGTACTCATTAGTAAGTATTATAGTTTAATTTAATTTTTAGTTATTCCTAATTTTCATGTATTTCCAGGTGTAGTCCAATCATTCCAATTTATATACCAACAAGGAGTTTTATATAGACTAAAAGCATTAGGCGAACGTCATAATATGGATATCACTATTGAAGGTTTCCATTCTTGGATGTGGCGTGGTCTTAGCTTTTTACTACCATTCTTGTATCTAGGATATATTTTCCAACTGTATAACGCATATACATTATATAAATTATGTTATCATCCACATGCCACTTGGCAGGTCAGTAAATACAATTAAATAACTTTTTATTTTCAGCAGTTAAAATAATAATCAATCTCTAGCAAATTTATACACAATTTCCACCTAAATTATATTAAAATAGTTATAAGACTATTCTTTTTTCCTTTAATAAGAAATTTGAAATTTAGTAAAAAAATTATGAAAATAATATTAAGTACCTAAACAAAAGAATTATTTGTATAGCTAACTTAAAATGTAAGGTCTTTCATAATATTGAAATTTATTTATTTATTATTAGATATAATAGTATAGTGTAATGTGTCTAAGAACGACTGCAATAAAAGAGCTTGTCATAAAAATATCTATCAAAAAATAAATATTTAACTATACATAAGTGTTAATTACAAAGTCAACAATAAATTCATTTCTGATAAAATATTTTTTGCGGTGTGAATATATTTTAAAGGTTTTGTGTTCATTGTTTTTAAATATTAAGTTTAAATTATAATTAACAAGTTCTGAAATTTTTGCACTTTTTAATTATTAGTTATGACCAGGGATCAGAAGTTTAGCATTATCATATTTTTTTCTGGTAAGAACATCTGAATTTAAAAGTAAAATACAAATTTGTTTTACACTTCCCTGATGTGTCATACATAAATTTCTTTTATCCAAATTTTTGCATATGAACCGTTTTAATTTTTTTCAAAGTTAAAAACAAATATAGATAGTTTAACCTGTAGATTATTTGTTTGACATTATCTTATCAATATAGTATTATTAAGACAAATTTATTGTCTCAGCTTAATATCAAGCGTAACCAACTAATATTATCATGTATTATTTTTAAACATTATTTAGGTTCCTGTTTTGTCCGGTTTATTTTTTATATTATTCTTGGGAAATGCAGTTACTACTTCAATGGTCATTCCAGAAAAATTAAGAGAAGTAAAAATAAGACGAATTATCAAGGTAGTATTAAAAATATATTTGACCAATATTCATGTCATATAATCATATAACTATTTGCAGACGTATACTCGAAAAATGTCTGGCAATCGACTCGGAGCTGACCCAAAAAAAAGTGACTGAAAAATTAAGTAAGAATTGTAATTTAAATCAATGGTTTCTTAGTCTCTTTTTTTTTAAATAGTTGTATTATTTTATTATTATTATTATTATTATTATTATTATTATTATTAATAATAATAAATAATTATTTATAGGAATACATGGTGTAACATTTAGAATCTAGATTTTTTATTTAACACACCATCACACGTTATGTTTTAATGTTATGTATTTGTTTTAATATATCAATTTAATTTTGTATTTAAGGCGTTATTAAAAATCTATTAATAGAGTGTCCTTATTATGCATTGTACAATAATAGATGACATTCCTTTGAAGCAGATAAGAACAAATTTATAAAAAGTATAATAATAAAAATTAAACAAATTGTTTCATTATTAGAATATTATATTGTTTATTCATTTAAATGTTAGGAAAAAGACTAACATTTTACTTCTTTTTTGGGTCTTTCAAGCCAGCTCCAGCATTAAATTTGAAAAATATAATATCCCCATCTTCTACAACATAATTTCTGCCTTGTTGCCTATATTTCCCCGCAGCCTGAAATGAATAATGTAATATTTATTGATAAGAACCAATAAATTAATGAATCAATAAGTAAAAATTTCATTTATTACTTTGCAAGCAGCTTCAGTTCCTTCATTTTTGAAATCTTCAAACTTCATCACCTCGGCCATAATGAATCCTTTTTCAAAATCTGTATGAATTCTTCCAGCTGCCTGGGGTGCTTTAAAACCTTTCTATTATCAATTTAAAGTAAAATTAAAATTAAAATTTTCATTCTATGATTTTTATTTTTAATTGTAAACTTACTTGAATAGTCCAAGCTTTGACTTCGTCATGTCCAGCAGTGAAAAAATACTGTAACTGCAATGCTTTGTAACCTTGGATAATTATTTTGTCCAAAGCACTAATAATAAATATTCACATTAAAATTAGATTCATAATTTAACTATGACAAGTTTAAAAAATAAAAATAAAAATAAAAATGAATAATATGTAATTAGTACATACAGTGTGATTGATTTATCATAAAACACTCATTATTTCAAAACGTATTGACTTTTTTCAAAATATTTTTTTACATGGTTTCAAGTTAAAAAACAAACGTTTTTATTAAAAAATTATATTTTGGACGGGGACCACTCCACTCTGCAATCTAAACTTTAATACTTATAACTCATAAACTACTAGCCCCAAATTCGATTTTTATATATCAAAATTCTTAGAACAATATCATAGGCGCACATAGGGGGCTGCTTGGGGGTGCTTAGCACTCCCAGGTTTAAAATTAGCACCGCATAAACTATTTAAAATRTTTATTACATWDTCRTATCTTTTRAAATATTATTATATAAATCTGTTTATGTATATCAGGATATTTTGAAAATAACAACAGTTAGTTTATCAGCAGAAATGATGGTTTTAATGAATAGTCTACCAGCCAGCTTTATATATGAAGGCATGAAAAATCAATGTTATAAAAGTTTGTTTCCAAATGTCTGTAAGCTATTGGGAAAAACAATTCCAATTTCTTCGTCAACGTGTGAACGCTTCTTCTCAGCTATGCGTAGATTGAAAAACTGGTTACGCRMCAATATGGRCCAAGAAAGATAGAAAGATTTACCAAGCTATCTACGCTTAGCATTGAGAGTGATCTTACCAATAAAATAGAGGGGGAAATTATATTGCAAACATTTGCAATATCAAACAGAAAATTAAATCTTGTCTAACATTAATAATTAATGATTACATGTTATTATAACTTGTAATATAAYTACAAAATATTTATTTTTATTTTTAATAAAATTTATAATTATTGCAATGCAATTATTATAGKATTAKGGTGGTGTAGTGGGGGGCTTCGCTCCCCACGGGTCTGTGTACTATAAATTATTTTAGCACCCCCTAAATTCACACCCTATGTGCGCCTATGAAAAATATTCTGCTTTGAAATATGAAATTAAAACTCTATKTTGTCATTCAAAAAAGTAAAAAACTTAAAAARTGATAAGGATAAAAAATATTTTTTAATAATAACGTTGCTTTTTTAACAACTTGAAACCATGTAAAAAATATTTTGAAAAAAGTCAATGTTTTTTGAAATAATGAGTATTTTATGATGAATCAATCACCCTGTATACAAAAAAAAATTTTCAATTAATTTGCTGTCATATTTTAATATTTCAAATATAATTAAGCATGTGTTTGATTTAAAACCTCAATTTTTATTGAATTTCAAACAGCTCAAATTTCTTATCAATTAATGTATTTTTTTGTTTAATAAGTAATAACTAACCTGGTAGCTTGAACTTCTTCCAAGTATTTTTTGCGTTCTGGTTCCTCCATTTCAATAATTTTATTTTCAAAAACTCCACTAAACGGTATAATAATTGCACCAGGATCATTTTTGTCCACCCATTCTTTAATTTTTATCAGCCACTTGTTCTTTTTTCGGATATAATCTTTTTCTGATAGATTTACCAGATAAATGACTGGCTTTGTCGTGATGAACATATGTTTATTGAGAAATTCTATCTGAAAAAAATAAAATTTATTAATATTTTAAGTTATCAATACTGTGGTTTATTGATAATTACATCAAGAGCGCTCCAATCGCCAAACCTGATATGTTTCTTTTCATCGACTAAAACAGTTTTGATTTTTAAAAAAGTATCCTGAAAATATAATCTAAGTATTAAAATCATTTAAAACAGAGGTCGACTAGTTATTACAAACATACATATTCTGGTTTGAGTTTTTTATCTCCGCCACGTATAGCTAATTTTTCAAGTTTTTCCAAATTGGCATTAAAATATTCTTCGTCTTTTAAACGTAACTCTTCATTAATAACTTCCATATCTTTAATAGGATTAACTTCACCCTCGATGTGAATTACATCCTCGGCGTCAAATGCACCTAGACATAACATTCGAGTATATTATTATTTATTAGCCATTATAAGAAAAATGTTAATAACTATTACAATTTTTTTCAGTGTAAAAGATAACAATGAATTGCAACTTCAAGACTTTTATGACTGTTAAATGTATAGATGAAGAAATAATCTTGTTAAAATTTTTTCATATAACAATTTAAAAAAATAATTAAATTAATGATTAATATTGCACTATGGTTATATTTTATTTATTAATTTTTGAAAGGTACTATTATAAAATAATAAATAATTGTATGTTTAAGAAGACGCCACACATCCTGTATAATGTGCTGACTTGCAAACATACAACATAATAAAAACTATTTTGTGCGAGATAAACTTTACTCCTTCTGTATTTGTTGCAGAATCGCCAAAATTTCACAAAATATAGAGAAAAACTTTATCTGTATTGTAGTGTTTTTATTATTTGAATAACATAAATACAATTTAAGTTATTAGTTCAAGAAAATTTTTTTTTTAAATTAATTATTCAAAAATATTAATGCTGTCAAAAAAATAAAAACTCTATAACCAGACAAAGTTTTTCTTTATCTATTATGAAATTTTGGTAATTTTGCAATAAATACAGAGGGAGTAAAATTGTCCGCAAAAAAACAGGTTTTGACACTTAGTAAATTTGTAAGACAAAGATCACACATGAGGGTGTGTGGCGCCCTCTTAATGTATTTACTATTTAGTATAATGTTATACTTAAAAATGAATTTCATATTTTGTTTTGTTTTATTTCAATCCTTTAAAAATTGTGTTCTTCATATCATTATAATAATAACGAGGAAGTATACACTTTATTAATAAGCTATAAGTTTCTAATCTCTATATATAATTTATGAGTAGGAAATTTAATATAACCAATAAATTTGTTAAATTGCTGTCTATTATATATTATATCTAGGTATACAAAATAATCAAAGAGCCTAAAACAATAAACGAGTTTCATACAATTAAAAAATATTATTTATAGCAATGTGTAATCATTTTTTATTTCTGTCTAATAAGTAGGGCCCAGATTTATATGCTCTAAAAACCTAAAATATATGCATTTATGCCTTTAATTTGTAAAAATATGTAAAATATTTGTATTTTAGATCTATTAAATATTATAATTCAAACTTGTAGTTTATCTAGCTACTTTTTGGAAGGTTTGAAAAAAACATGCAAATGCAAATAAATTTGGGCCCTAATTATTAGTATAAAAATATCGAAATGGTTGGTTTTAAAATAAAAATATGATTTTATGGTTTAGAGATATTTCAATGTCAATAGACTCGTTAATATTATTGGTAAGTTATTTTACTGTAACCATATAAATGATCAACACTTTTCGTATAAACTTAATTTAGAGCACTGATTCTAGATCATTTTCCACCTATTTAAATTAAAACTAAACTTACGGCACAAATGGAACAGAGCATCGCATGCTTTTATGTGGGACAAAAAGGCATTCCCAAGACCTTGGCCTTCTGCAGCTCCTTTGACGAGCCCAGCTATATCTACAACGTTCAAAAATGCTGGAACTTTGCTGGAAAAAAATAGAATGAACAATTAAACATAAACATGAAAATGGCTAGAATATAAATAACTAAAAAGTTGAACTTAAAAAATTCTAAAACAAATCTTGGTTCATAAAATTGTATTTCGTAAGAAGTATACAGAAAATCTAAACATGAGCAATACAGTAGTTGGTGTCAAATATTAATGACAAAGTAATTTTTCTACAGACAACGAAATCGACATGGGTATTTACAGAAGGAAACAACAAAAATTACTTTAAAATGCTAAAAAACGCAATTAGATTATACTAAATGGGGTCAGAGTGGCGAAGTGGTGCAACTCACACAGTCATCTTTTCGATTCATAGCTAAGTGCAAAAAAATTGCGTGGTTTTTCGCGATCACCAATTTCTCGTGCTGTCGTCCGATTACCAACTAGGTCCCACTCAGTGCTGTAGAAACAGCGGTGCGGGCGGTTCATTGCACCGCGGCCCCACGTTGCAATTTTTAATATGAGGCCCATACTTAAATAAAATAATATAAGAATTAAGAATCTATGCTAAGAAATTTTTTTTTTTAAAGATCGTAGTATAATGATAATGCCGTTAGTACTTTGTTATTTTAGCATAATTTAGCATCCCTAGGCTTCAAATTAGCACTCTCAGTTCCAATATAATAACATGTAACAATATAATTAGTTTTTAAATATATTGAATACATAAAATATTATGTACGGTATAKCTGTTTTATAGTTTAAATAAATAAAAAGTAACGTTTACATTAACATTTATACAATTTCAATTTTATTCTTAGTTATTAATTTGTCTATACAAAGTACCTATTGAAGAAAAATTAATTAAAATTTTAATTAATTATATTTGTATTATAATTAAAAAGTAAGAATATGAATAAGTAAAAATTTAAAATTATTGCAATGCAGTTTATTATATTATTAGTGGGGTTGTGGACTGTGGGAGCTAAGCCCTCCACGAATCTGTGTACCATCAATTATTTTAGCATCCCCTAAATTCACATCCATTGTGCTCTTATCTAAAGGGGCCGCAGATTAAATTTGCACTAGGGACCATCTATTTCTAGCTACAGCACTGGTCCCATTCCACTGGAAGTGAAGATCAGACATGTCTCCTCTTGGAAAAGAGGGTAGTATCATATATATAGATAAATAAATCATATGATCTCCATACAACCCACTTGTGATACACATCTACAAAGACCTTAAGGTCGTTTCAATAAAAAAATTTAGACAGAAAAAAGATTAAACTAAATCCAAAAATTGGGGGGGGGATGGTGATAATTAGGTTTGCTATCCTACTATCCTAGAAATAACAAAGAAAAAGTCCTATCTATGATCGTTTTAATATTTTACATAGTAAACTATAATAATGTACCAAGGAAAATGTACGAATAATGTCTCTTGGGCGTTTTTAACGATGGAGAGTTGTATAGGTACAAGTACAAAAATAAATTTAAAATGTATAGTGGTGCGTACCTACGACCGACGGACCTACCTACCGGCTATCCCGCGCCCGGAATTAAAATCCCGTTAAACCTATGGGTGAATTACGAGGGGAAAATTTTTAAATTACAAAGCCCACCGGGAACGACCGTTGATTGGATTTTTTTTTCCATCCTCTGGAATTACACGTCGACGTTACGCGGATGGGTGGGTACAACCACAGGTCCACAGCTACCGACCGAGATTTCCTCCCAATAAATCAGTATACCCGTCGGCGGCGGCGCCGCGGTGGTTGTGGGAACTGGGAAGCCATTCCGAAGGTATAGGTACACTTATTGCGCGATGTGAATGAAAACGAAGATTTTTCGACCTCATATTACATTAATATATCTCACTGACCCTATTAATAGCTAGGTCACATTATAATCTGTCGGTTTTTAGATTTTTATTTTTTACCCGGTCCGTCGCCCCCGCGGGCATTCTGCCGGACTGCAGGGTACACTTACGACCTATATATAAGAGGTGGTATAGGTACCTACGACCTGCCTAGCTCATATAATAATATTACAGAATGCTTTATTAAAGCGCCGACAATATTTTTGGCACCGCCGTACCTACAGTAATTTGTAAACATGATTTAATGGGCTATTAAAGTTAATTGCAGTGATTCCGCGGGCTTCTGTTATGGATTGTAAAAACCGTCATTATTTTTTTTATTTAATATAACCAACAAAAAATCATACGAGTTTTTCGTTTTATTTTCCAAGTATATGATTCACGCGAACATTGTCTCAAACAATATCAAATATCCCAAACTATTAAAAAACTGATTTAAATTTATATTTTACCTAACTACCTACCTACTATCTAATGGCCACGGTGTGTCGGTGTTTTACAAGTTAACACTTTTATTTGAAAAATACTTTATTTTTATTTTTACAATAACATTCTAAACAYGATTTAATCGTAACACAGCAATATAGCATTAAGTGCATCTATAAATTACAATATTTCATATATTTTTAGTTAATACTTTGAAATGTTGACAACTAATGATAAYCGCCATTTTAACCTTAAATTTAAATACTAAGTTGTAAATTGTCTTTACTTTGTATATTTCATACAAAAATACCTAATATGGTAATGAGATTGAAATGATTTAAGAGAATATCAGTGGCTCAGTACAATAYATGTTTTATACCTAGCTCAGGCTCAATTAAGAACAAAAACATATTTATACGTGAAATCATTTTTATGATATCTTTCACTAATTTTTCGAGCAAAATCAACCATTCCAAAAATTATAGATAATATGTCATGAGTTTGTTTACTTGTTGATTAAACAATTACAAATAAAATAAAAAATGTTAATGTGAAAGTCGAATACAAAATCAAAATATATTTAAATCTACAAACGGTAAAATATACCTAAAAAATCTTATCCTCTATAAATTTTGTAATTCACATAAAAAAAAGAAAAGATTTTAGGTGAGATTTTTTATCTATGTTTGCGCATTGGTCTGTGAGAAAATACATATCCAGCTGACATCTTTCTAAATAAAAATTTATATTTCAACTAAAAATGTAAATCATTTATAAATTTGAAAAATTGAATAAATTATAACTATAATTAAAAGGAATTAACCACGAAATCGCTCTGTTATATAGTAAAGTTTAGAGAGTAGCTCAAAATTGAATAGGTCATAATTATAATGACATACATAAAGGATATGTTAAATTTGAATTCAATAATAAATCATTAAATCAATTTTTCTAGATTATTAAGGATATTATCTTATATTTGCAGAGTCAAGTGCAGCGGTGCAGGAATAATCTATTTCCATATTTTTTTGAAGCGTATATTCATATGTTTTCTGATAAAGAATTATTTAGTCTATATTACAATGGAATGACTAGGTATTATTTTATGCCCCTTGAATAGTTTGAAAATATTGATCAAGTCATTTCTCGTGCTGGAACTAACAATTTATTTATTTTACTATTAGTAGTATCTACAACAAATTTTACTACTATTTACCAAAATCATTATTACTACTTAGGTATAATATCATATTGTCATATTGATATATTATAAATCATTAAAATGTATACCATTATATTATGATTTATATCTTTACTATCTATACATATGGTACTATTATTATTCATTTTAATTCACTTGTCAATACTGCAATCTAAAGAAATAGGTTTGTCATGTAAATAGATTAATAATAATCTATACGGTGACAGAGTAGCCAAGCGTTCCAAGGTGTTGGCTGCTAGGCGCACTGTTGCCATATGAACCTTGATCATGGGAGACACCTCTCTTCGGGCAGTCACATATCTGGAGAGAGGCCGCCATCCCCCACAATACACGATAGAAACCTACGGGTGCCACTAGAAATTCTACCAAACACACAAGTATGTTCCAAAAACCTAACCCTACCAACCAACCTACAGCTTATGGCCTTATTTGCCAAAGCTTATATAAATAGAATTAAAATAATTTAAACATTTTGAACATTTCAATTTTTAGTTCACTATCAGTAATTTTTATTAACAGACTATTAATTGCAGTTCTAAATAATCATTGAAGATACTAACCTGGCTGGTTTGAAATATTCAACTAAATAATCAAATCGTTGATCCRGCACTGGTACACGACTTGCTAGAAGGGAATAAAAAAAATCCTATCATTAATTTATATTTAAAATAATTAAATTTTCAACAATTAAATACAGTGGTGACAAGTAAATATTTAATGGTAGGTATTTGAATTTTGAATCATATAAACTATATTATATAGGTTTGTAAAAATAATTTAAAGAGTAAAATTAATATTTTTAATAAACTTATTTAAAAATTACTTTTTCATTGTAGATACTATATTTGATTAGATATATAGTAGGTAGATATGAAAATTTTTTTATTTTGCTTAGCTAAAAACAAATTGTAATACTTAAATTTWAAAAAATGTTATTAGTATATGTTTTATTTTATATTATATTTCCTACACCTTTTTGTATATTATCTAATATAAATAAGGAAGACATTTTCAAATTTAAGGCTTTAGCTTCAATAGCACCCCCTCTTGTTGGATTTGGTATATTAGTATCTTGGATATTTTTAACGAAAATGGAACAGTGTTGATCAATGGTATTTAAGCCCATTTTTCGGTCTTGAATGATGAAGTTTTATTTCATAATTTTTTTTTTTTTTGTATTGGTGTCTTTTGAGAATTTACAATCTGTACACTATATACAATAAGTAAATATGATATAAGCCGATTTTTTTTTATTGAACTCGCTCCACTAGTAAAACTGATGTGTAGATAACTATCTATAATATAAGGTACTATAGTACTACAGGTATTACAAATTAAAAAAATACTTATTTTCATTTGGATCGATGGTACAAAATGGAAAATTTTCAGCTGCAGCTTCACTCTTGGTGAGGACATTGAAGAATGTCGACTTACCAACATTCGGAATACCAACGATTCCAACCTTCAGATTTGTGCCTACACGTCCAATAAGTGGTTTCTTCTCAGGTTCTTCAACTTTTTTGGGTGGCATGATGATCACAGGCCTAATTAACCAACATCATATTTCAATGATTAAATAATGAAGCGATATAATAACTATGAAATAAAATGGTTCGTCCACACTAAAAACTGCATACCTAGTTAGTGTTACAGATATGTTTTTTAAGTATTTACGACGAACACATTAAATCATTTTAATACTTACACACAATTGGTATAGTGTTTGCTACGAGAACTTAACAACTAAAATTATATTTAATACTAGATTTTAGATCTAAAATCTAAATCTACTGACAAAATAAATTGAACTTCAAAATGTGCTTCGATCGAGACATCGAGTTATCAGTTATCATTTATTATCACGACTGATATGCAATGTTCTTTTATCCACGCCGACTTTGAGGTTAATTTTGAATTTTATGATCTGCTTTTTACCATTATGGACCTTATACAAGGTCTACCTAATACTTAGTATAAGGTCTGTGGTTATTATTGACATTGCAATAAATAATTATAAAACAGAAAAACGTGGTGTACTCTTATACCGTTTAAGGTTTAACACATTATGGTTTACTTGTCACAATGGTTACTTGTTATTTTCTTGAAAGCATGTTTTTTTGTATAGGTATTTTAGTATTTTGCATTTTCAATTTTGTCTAACGTTGGCGCCGTGTCCTACGGGAATCCAACAAATGTGACGAAAAACTAAACAGTTTGTACTTTTTGATCGCATCGAACGCATCAAATTGCGACGAAACAGAATGGTTACAAAACAAATCTCACTCACCGCATCGCATTCAAGGCGTTAGGTAATTATCCATAACTTTGGTTAACACATTTCAATCGCACATTACACACGTTGCATATAGGCAACTAAATGTACACCATCTTAATCACCCCGTGCATAATAATGTTATTTATACATTTTAATAATAATATTATACCACCGACGGTGGCTATCGAAGAAATAGTCAATATGACGAAATCCAATCCCGATAATTTCGTACTTGAGTGTTGAGATTTTACAATATTTGCGAATGAACTATATTCTATTTTTATTATTTTATTGATATATTAATATGTAAGTTGGTATTAAAATTAAATAATATGATTGAATTGTCTGTATTTATGATTTTAACTTCATAGTGTCACAATACGAGTACACATTGTCATGGAAAGTGCTTGAGTAAAATTAGTTTTCAAATATTTTTTYAGATCCTACTCAAATCCGTATTTTTACTTATGAAAATAGTACTCGGACAGAGTATCTTACTGAATACCTAAATGTTTTCTCAAAGTATCTGTATTAAAATAAAATTTAAAAACAAATGAAACGTGATGAAACAATTTTAAATTATACTTACCTATCTATAAATAGATATTATTAATTACAAGTATAATAACATATTATACATACCTATAATTTAGGAATAGGTATGTTTAATTTATAGTTATATTAAAAACAAAAAATATAGGTAAAGTAATTAATTAGAYAATTAAAAACTTTAAAGAATTAAAAAATTGATCTATCTATTATGCTCTTTGTCAGCGAAAATGTTAAAGTATTGGATAAACTTTTATCATTTTTCTATAAACTGTATTTCTATAATTTCACCTCCTTTAAAAAAAAAACGCCGCCGAGATAATGATTTTATATGGAACGTGTTTCAAATTTTAGATGTATTTTATTATGCTCGTTGTGGAGATTGTCTGAAAATGCTATCTGTTGGATAGCTGGAGTTCAGAACAGTCCAATAGATCGAGCTGATAGTAACGATGCCTCGCATGTCTTAATCTTTCTCCACCACSAAGACTCAAGAGTCAAGAGTGATTTCAATTTTCAATCCCACCCACTTCCAAATCTCATTTTCGTATTGTTATTTTTAATATTAAATTATTTAGCTATGCGCATTTACTGTCTAGGATTTTAAGTACATAGTAGTACATAGCATTTTATGCTGAAGATAATGCTTTTTAACATTTTAACCATTTAATCCTGCTGTTATAGTCTCTAGACAGTCTAGACTCTAGACTTTTAGGTGTAGGCAATGCGGATTAGTTGTGTACGAGTGAAAAGTTAGGTACAGAAGTGCTAGTCTTATTGGTTAAATTCTGTAGCATGCAAATAATATAAGATTCAATAAATTATGGACTATGATATAGATTAAAAAAATTTTGATCTAAAATAATAATTTTAAAAATCTGGAAACAAGTAGGTAAAAAACAATAGTTTCAACTTTCAAAAACACAAGTTTTATTTTTCAACCATGGATACGGMCGAAAGACTAACAATTGCAGTAGTAGGTATACCTAAGTATACGTATACGTCCTATCTAGATAGGTATGAAAAGTCGTTGTTACACAAATAATAATATTAACACAATATTCCTTCGCCACTTCGTTTTAATAGAATTACAAATGTAGATATTTAGATACATCAATTACCTATTAAGTAAATATATATTTAATACGGCGTCATCAATTTAATAGGTTCATCATTATTATTTTTATATCTATATTAATATTAGAACTGTCTAACTTTTAATTGTTATTAGTTCCTAATTAAAATATAAAACTGAACGTAAATAAATTTCGCAAATCTGATGTCAACTATTCTATTTTTACACCTTAATAACTATCTAATAAGTGAGTGTGTATATTATATAGGTACCAGTTATACCACGAAATATAAGTACGTCACTGCTCCTCTATTAACTTGTTATTTAAAAAAATTATATCGTTCAAAATGTATAGATGGAGGTTGATGATGATTCATTCAGTAATGAATGATGATTTACCTGACCTCGAGATGTAATTCTTCATGACGTATTATAACAGAATCATTATTATGTATTATGGATGATGGACCACAAACGCAATATCTTATAAAATAATTTAATGAATTGTTATTATTTTTATGGTAAGTACCTATACGWATACCTATTACTTGTATTTGTAAGGTATCGAATAACTTGTAGATAATGTGTCAAAATACCAAAAATACGTTGGTTATATGTTATATCTTATATATAAGTACCTAATTGTATCTTATTAATCTTATTATTAGGTTTATAAGTACCAATTGTGCATTTTAAATTATAATATAGGTAGGTACTTATTAATCTTTAAATGTGTGTTCTGAATTAGTATTATTTTTGGACCACGTGTGTATATCAAGTTGGGGGGAAATACTTACTCCTGGTGCGGCCCTGAGCCCTTTTGGGTTTGTTGGTTTATTATCACTCAGAGAAATGTGTTGTAGGATTAATGAAAAACGACTGTAAAATCAAATAAAAATGTGATGATTTCGAACCTATGAAATTGCACCATAAATGTACAGTTTTAATTAAATAAATCATAAGTTTTCAATAATAAAACAATTCTCATTATTTTAATATATGTATTATTTATAATAAGAAAATAATACTTTAAAAACTAAGAAAATCCTATCATTTAATCAAATATAAGATACTTAAATTAAGTAACTGTTAAACTATTATTATTTTAATAAAATGTTTACTTATAACAAATGTTTTTAAAACTAAGAGAATCATATAATTAAATTAAAACCATTTTATTTCAACTAATTATTCAATTTTAATTATTTTAATAGCTCTTTTACTTAAAACAAGAATGTAATATGATCTTTAAAAGTAAGGGAATCAAATCATTAAATTAAAATTGCTTTGTAATCTAAACTATAGTTTATTTAATAATAAAGTTAATATTATACGAAGTTATTTGGATGTAAGACCAAGTTTGAGTGTTAAACTGAACACGCGTTTACTAGCCATTGAACAAGTTAGGTAATAGTTAATGTCTTCAAACTAGTTAAGATTCGAATATGATCAGCAATTATTTCAATCACTTCGAGCAAAATAGTTTACAGCATACAATTTTTATGACGTGTTTTTTTTTTAATTATCATTAATTAAGCCTGAAAAACTGAAAAACATAGGATCTTAACACTTTCGATAGAAACAAAATTTATTTATTTTAATTCCTAAAAAATAAAAAATAAATAATAAATTATGAATAATACTCATGTTATAGATGTGGGATGTATCAAGTGTAAGTGGACTTCATTTTTAATAGTAATACCTATATTAATTTGATAATGTCAAGAATTTAAGTTTATATAATGATATCGTTATACTTGTAGGCTCCTAAGTTAAGGTTTTTATACTGAAAATAAATTAAAATTATTCTTTTAAGGTTTCAAGTACGATCTACATTTATCGAGTACCTGATACCGGAATAACCTATATACTTAACCGCTTCTGTCGTGTTCCGAATGCCACATGGTGCCTATAATATTTTGTTCTTGTATAATAATATAATCATTAATCACCAAATCATTTAGCAGGATAAAAATATTCATCCTTTCGATTTAAATAGCTTGTAATAAATTACGTATCAATAGGAATCATATACTGGACGCTGGTTACCTATTTTGTATTTTACTTTGGATTCGAGAATACTCATGGACACCAACATTTACCCCCTTTAGAAGTTTATACGTTTCTGCGGAATAACACTTTATATAATTATAATGATAGTCAATAATTATGTAATAAAGTTTGTGTCTACTTTCATAGAACATAATAATGTCTCACAAATATAGCCTTCAATATGTTATAGTAAATAATATTATCATACTTATTATACCTAAATGGCTGTACTGCACTACTGCCTGTACTATACCATCGTGTAGCTATATTAAACTGTATAAGATCAGTGGCACAGAACCCTATATTAAGACCAGGCCATGGCCCAATATATTTTGAAAATATAGGATAGGGCCTCCACGGTACGCTATTTGTCGATATCAAGATATTGGGCTTCTTGAAATTTTTTCTCCCTACTAGATTTTCAGGACTTCGGTGCCAATCTTATAACAAGATATTGTATACCTAGTAACATTAATCATTACTTTACCTGCAGGGTCGTATTTCAGGGTTTGAAGGGGCAATAGCCCCCCTCCAGAATATATTAAAGGGCGCTAATATTTTTAGGGAGACTATAAAAGAGTTTTCTGAAAAATTATAATTTATATTAATAATTCAAATATTATATATATTATTACTATTATTAAAAAACCTGAAATAAAAATTATATATAACATTTTTAGTTGTACGTTATACATTTTATGTATCTATATATTAGTATATTACCTATATCCTGTTATTTGTTACCAGCTATTATAAATATTTATAATATATTATAATATTATTTACCAGTTTATTTATCTAAATACTAAATTCGATACCACAAATCCCTATGATTAGAATTACATACTAAGTAGTAATACAATCAATAATAGCAAATTCTAG